CTCTCCCAGCCTTGTCCCCTGGGACAGGGAAGTCACTGTGTGACAGGTACTCTCTCCCAGCCTTGTCCCCTGGGACAGGGAAGCCTGTGTGACAGGTACTCTCTCCCAGCCTTGTCCCCTGGGACAGGGAAGCCTGTGTGACAGGTACTCTGTCCCAGCCTTGTCCCCTGGGACAGGGAAGTCACTGTGTGACAGGTACTCTCTCCCAGCCTTGTCCCCTGGGGCAGGGAAGTCACTGTGTGACAGGTACTCTCTCCCAGCCTTGTCCCCTGGGACAGGGAAGCCTGTGTGACAGGTACTCTCTCCCAGCCTTGTCCCCTGGGACAGGGAAGTCACTGTGTGACAGGTACTCTCTCCCAGCCTTGTCCCCTGGGACAGGGAAGTCACTGTGTGACAGGGACTCTCTCCCAGCCTTGTCCCCTGGGACAGGGAAGCCTGTGTGACAGGTACTCTCTCCCAGCCTTGTCCCCTGGGACAGGGAAGTCACTGTGTGACAGGTACTCTCTCCCAGCCTTGTCCCCTGGGACAGGGAAGCCTGTGTGACAGGTACTCTCTCCCAGCCTTGTCCCCCTGGGGCAGGGAAGTCACTGTGTGACAGGTCCTCTCTCCCAGCCTTGTCCCCTGGGACAGGGAAGTCACTGTGTGACAGGTACTCTCTCCCAGCCTTGTCCCCTGGGACAGGGAAGTCACTGTGTGACAGGTACTCTCTCCCAGCCTTGTCCCCCTGGGACAGGGAAGTCACTGTGTGACAGGTACTCTCTCCCAGCCTTGTCCCCTGGGACAGGGAAGCCTGTCTGACAGGTACTCTCTCCCAGCCTTGTCCCCCGGGACAGGGAAGTCACTGTGTGACAGGTGCTCTCTCCCAGCCTTGTCCCCTGGGACAGGGAAGTCACTGTGTGACAGGTACTCTCTCCCAGCCTTGTCCCCTGGGACAGGGAAGTCACTGTGTGACAGGTACTCTCTCCCAGCCTTGTCCCCCTGGGACAGGGCAGCCTGTGTGACAGGTACTCTCTCCCAGCCTTGTCCCCTGGGACAGGGAAGCCTGTGTGACAGGTACTCTCTCCCAGCCTTGTCCCCCTGGGGCAGGGAAGTCACTCTGTGACAGGTACTCTCTCCCAGCCTTGTCCCCCTGGGACAGGGAAGTCACTGTGTGACAGGTACTCTCTCCCAGCCTTGTCCCCTGGGACAGGGAAGCCTGTGTGACAGGTACTCTCTCCCAGCCTTGTCCCCCTGGGACAGGGAAGTCACTGTGTGACAGGTACTCTCTCCCAGCCTTGTCCCCTGGGACAGGGAAGCCTGTGTGACAGGTACTCTCTCCCAGCCTTGTCCCCTGGGGCAGGGAATCACTGTGTGACAGGTACTCTCTCCCAGCCTTGTCCCCTGGGACAGGGAAGCCTGTGTGACAGGTACTCTCTCCCAGCCTTGTCCCCTGGGGCAGGGAAGCCTGTGTGACAGGTACTCTCTCCCAGCCTTGTCCCCTGGGACAGGGAATCACTGTGTGACAGGTACTCTCTCCCAGCCTTGTCCCCTGGGACAGGGAAGTCACTGTGTGACAGGTGCTCTCTCCCAGCCTTGTCCCCCGGGACAGGGAAGTCACTGTGTGACAGGTACTCTCTCCCAGCCTTGTCCCCTGGGACAGGGAAGTCACTGTGTGACAGGTACTCTCTCCCAGCCTTGTCCCCTGGGACAGGGAAGCCTGTGTGACAGGTACTCTCTCCCAGCCTTGTCCCCCTGGGACAGGGAAGTCACTGTGTGACAGGTACTCTCTCCCAGCCTTGTCCCCTGGGACAGGGAAGTCACTGTGTGACAGGTACTCTCTCCCAGCCTTGTCCCCTGGGGCAGGGAAGTCACTGTGTGACAGGTACTCTCTCCCAGCCTTGTCCCCTGGGACAGGGAAGCCTGTGTGACAGGTACTCTCTCCCAGCCTTGTCCCCCTGGGACAGGGAAGTCCTGTGTGACAGGTTACTCTCTCCCAGCCTTGTCCCCTGGACAGGGAAGTCACTGTGTGACAGGTACTCTCTCCCAGCCTTGTCCCCCTGGGACAGGGCAGCCTGTGTGACAGGTACTCTCTCCCAGCCTTGTCCCCTGGGACAGGGAAGCCTGTGTGACAGGTACTCTCTCCCAGCCTTGTCCCCTGGGACAGGGAAGTCACTGTGTGACAGGTACTCTCTCCCAGCCTTGTCCCCCTGGGACAGGGAAGTCACTGTGTGACAGGTACTCTCTCCCAGCCTTGTCCCCTGGGACAGGGAAGCCTGTGTGACAGGTACTCTCTCCCAGCCTTGTCCCCTGGGACAGGGAAGTCACTGTGTGACAGGTACTCTCTCCCAGCCTTGTCCCCTGGGACAGGGAAGCCTGTGTGACAGGTACTCTCTCCCAGCCTTGTCCCCTGGGACAGGGAAGCCTGTGTGACAGGTACTCTCTCCCAGCCTTGTCCCCTGGGACAGGGAAGTCACTGTGTGACAGGTACTCTCTCCCAGCCTTGTCCCCTGGGACAGGGAAGCCTGTGTGACAGGTACTCTCTCCCAGCCTTGTCCCCTGGGACAGGGAAGCCTGTGTGACAGGTACTCTCTCCCAGCCTTGTCCCCTGGGACAGGGAAGTCACTGTGTGACAGGTACTCTCTCCCAGCCTTGTCCCCTGGGACAGGGAAGTCACTGTGTGACAGGTACTCTCTCCCAGCCTTGTCCCCTGGGACAGGGAAGTCACTGTGTGACAGGTACTCTCTCCCAGCCTTGTCCCCTGGGACAGGGAAGTCACTGTGTGACAGGTACTCTCTCCCAGCCTTGTCCCCTGGGACAGGGAAGTCACTGTGTGACAGGTACTCTCTCCCAGCCTTGTCCCCCTGGGACAGCGAAGTCACTGTGTGACAGGTACTCTCTCCCAGCCTTGTCCCCTGGGGCAGGGAAGTCACTGTGTGACAGGTACTCTCTCCCAGCCTTGTCCCCTGGGACAGGGCAGCCTGTGTGACAGGTACTCTCTCCCAGCCTTGTCCCCTGGGACAGGGAAGCCTGTGTGACAGGTGCTCTCTCCCAGCCTTGTCCCCCTGGGACAGGGAAGTCACTGTGTGACAGGTACTCTCTCCCAGCCTTGTCCCCCTGGGACAGGGAAGTCACTGTGTGACAGGTACTCTCTCCCAGCCTTGTCCCCTGGGACAGGGAAGCCTGTGTGACAGGTACTCTCTCCCAGCCTTGTCCCCTGGGGCAGGGAAGCCTGTGTGACAGGTACTCTCTCCCAGCCTTGTCCCCTGGGACAGGGAATCACTGTGTGACAGGTACTCTCTCCCAGCCTTGTCCCCTGGGACAGGGAAGTCACTGTGTGACAGGTGCTCTCTCCCAGCCTTGTCCCCCGGGACAGGGAAGTCACTGTGTGACAGGTACTCTCTCCCAGCCTTGTCCCCCTGGGACAGGGAAGCCTGTGTGACAGGTACTCTCTCCCAGCCTTGTCCCCTGGGACAGGGAAGCCTGTGTGACAGGTCCTCTCTCCCAGCCTTGTCCCCTGGGACAGGGAAGCCTGTGTGACAGGTACTCTCTCCCAGCCTTGTCCCCTGGGACAGGGAAGCCTGTGTGACAGGTACTCTCTCCCAGCCTTGTCCCCCGGGACAGGGAAGTCACTGTGTGACAGGTACTCTCTCCCAGCCTTGTCCCCTGGGACAGGGAAGTCACTGTGTGACAGGTACTCTCTCCCAGCCTTGTCCCCTGGGGCAGGGAAGCCTGTGTGACAGGTACTCTCTCCCAGCCTTGTCCCCTGGGACAGGGAAGTCACTGTGTGACAGGTACTCTCTCCCAGCCTTGTCCCCTGGGACAGGGAAGTCACTGTGTGACAGGTGCTCTCTCCCAGCCTTGTCCCCCTGGGACAGGGAAGCCTGTGTGACAGGTACTCTCTCCCAGCCTTGTCCCCTGGGACAGGGAAGTCACTGTGTGACAGGTACTCTCTCCCAGCCTTGTCCCCTGGGACAGGGAAGCCTGTGTGACAGGTACTCTCTCCCAGCCTTGTCCCCCTGGGGCAGGGAAGTCACTGTGTGACAGGTACTCTCTCCCAGCCTTGTCCCCTGGGGCAGGGAAGTCACTGTGTGACAGGTGCTCTCTCCCAGCCTTGTCCCCCGGGACAGGGAAGTCACTGTGTGACAGGTACTCTCTCCCAGCCTTGTCCCCCTGGGGCAGGGAAGCCTGTGTGACAGGTACTCTCTCCCAGCCTTGTCCCCTGGGACAGGGAAGCCTGTGTGACAGGTACTCTCTCCCAGCCTTGTCCCCTGGGACAGGGAAGCCTGTGTGACAGGTACTCTCTCCCAGCCTTGTCCCCCTGGGGCAGGGAAGCCTGTGTGACAGGTACTCTCTCCCAGCCTTGTCCCCCTGGGACAGGGAAGTCACTGTGTGACAGGTGCTCTCTCCCAGCCTTGTCCCCCTGGGACAGGGAAGTCACTGTGTGACAGGTACTCTCTCCCAGCCTTGTCCCCCTGGGGCAGGGAATCACTGTGTGACAGGTACTCTCTCCCAGCCTTGTCCCCTGGGACAGGGAAGCCTGTGTGACAGGTACTCTCTCCCAGCCTTGTCCCCTGGGACAGGGAAGCCTGTGTGACAGGTACTCTCTCCCAGCCTTGTCCCCCTGGGGCAGGGAAGCCTGTGTGACAGGTACTCTCTCCCAGCCTTGTCCCCCAGTACCTGCGCCACCCTCCACCGCTCCTACAGTTTTACACTCAGGTGGTTAAAATACAAACAAACCACGTTGGCAAAGCAAGAAAATGAATAACGTGAAAATCAGCCAGGCAGTTGCTTCTCTGGTGGTGGGGGGGAATGAGAGGTGACACCCAGGAGGTCTGCTGGGGGTGAACTGTGTCCCCCCAAGTCCTAAGCCCCAGAACACGCACATGGGACTGTCTGGAGATTGGGTTTTTGCAGCCGCAACCAAGTCCACTTGGGGCCTCCTGACTGGGTTAGGGTGGGCCCCGCATCCAGCAGCTGTTTTTTTTTTTTTTTTTTTTTTTTTTTAAGATTTATTTATTTGTTTGAGAGGTAGCGTTACAGACAGAGAGAGGAAGACACAGAAAGAGAGGTCTTCCATCCGCTGGTTCACTCCCTAAATGGCCGCAATGGCCGGAGCTGAGCCGATCCAAATCCAGGAGCCAGGAGCTTCTCTCGGGTCTCCCAGGCGGGTGCAGGGGCCCAAGCACTTGGGCATCTTCCACTGCCTTCCCAGGCCATCAGCAGGGAGTTTGTCTTGATGAGAGCAAGGAGAGGGCGATGTGGGTATGGGCACGGTGGGCAGCGGGCTGTGTGAGGAGGGGGGCAGAGACTGGAGGACCAGTGATTGGAGCTGTCACCAGGCAGCAAGAGCCTGCGGCAGCAGCAGGCCCCGCTGACCCTGGGCCTCGGCATCGTGTGGAACTCCTGGTCTGTGGCCTTCGGTCGACAGGCGCGGCGGGCCGCTGAGGTTTCTCCGTGGGCACTCCTCGCCGGGGCTGCTGGTACACGTGTGACTTCACGGCAACAGAGATGAAAGGAACAAGAACAAAGGGAACAGGGAGGGACTGCCCGGCCTTTGAAGTTCAGTTCAGGTTGGGCACTTTTGGCCGTGGGTTTTCTCTGTGTACCAAGACCACAGCAGGGGATGTCCCCACCTGCGGGTGTGTGGAGCCCGTGCAGGAGGGTGGGGAGCAGAGGGACCCCGGGGCATCGCGTCTTACAGGCAAGCACTTCACGTGACCATGGGCAGACGGCGTCCCTGCTGGCGAGATGCCTTGTGTCCCGGGGCGGCAGCCCGGGCGCCCTCACAGGGGCGGGTCTGCGATGCTGAGCACAACCCTGGGCCACATCTAGCTCTCTGTGGCTGACCACGGGGACCAGCAGCGAGGCCTCACCCCAGGCCAGAGGAGCTTCCTGGAGCAACCTGTATCCACAGAGGGGCCAGCAGTCAAACAGAACAATCCCCTGCCCCTGCCCAGCACCGGAGGCTCCCTCCCGACGCGCTGGCTGGGGCGGGCGTCGTGGTGAGCTGCTGCCTGGGGAGCCTGCAACCCACGTGGGAGCGCCGGGGTTTGGGTGCCCCTCTGCCTGCACTTCCTGCTCTGTGCACCCTGGGAGGGGGAGAGGGTGGTCAAGTACTCGGGTCCCTGTCACTCACACGGGAGGCTCTGTGTGGAGTTGCTGGCTCCTGCTTTTGGCTCGGTGCAGCCCCAGGTGTTGCAGGCATTTGGGGAGTGACGCGGTGGATGGGAGGTCTCTCCTTGTTTGTTCTGTTTCTGCTTTCCAGATAAATAAGGAAAGAAAAAAAACAAAAATTAAACGACACCCCACCCCCACCGCCACCCTCTGCTCTCTGAAAATCAACCTCGGGAGCAGCTTTGTCATCCTCTGTCGGCTGGGGGCAGCGGGGCAATCTGCTTTCTCAGTGGTTTTTAAATTTGGATTTATTTATTTATTTATTTGAAAGGCGGAGTTGCAGAAAGACAGGGAGAGACTGAGAGAGAGAGGTCTTCCATCCACTGGTTCACTCCCCAGATGGCCACAAGAGACAGGGCTGGGCCAGGTCAATGCCAGGAGCCGGGACCCCCATCCGGGTCTCCCACGTGGGTGCAGTGGCCCAAGCGCTTGGGTGATCTGCTGCTGCTTCACCCAGGCCCTTAGCAGGGAGCTGGAAGGAAAATGGAGCAACCAGGACTCAGAGCGGATGCTGGTGGTGGTGCAGCCCACTGCGCCTGCTGCGCCCTGACACCAGCCCCTCCCGCTGGTCTGTCATTCTACTTGGTCCCCGCTCTTGCCGTTCGAAGTGCTAACAGCCATCCCAGGAGTTCTCAGTGTCAGTGCATGGTTTTAGTAAAGGATGGGGCAGCAGATGCTGAACAGGCACAGCTTCCAAAGACAGGGTGAAAAGTGCGCTTTGAGGGGCCGGCGCCGTGGCTCACTAGGTTAATCCTCCACCTGCAGCGCCGGCATCCCATATGAGCGCCGGGTTCTAGTCCCGGTTGCTCCTCTTCCAGTCCAGCTCTCTGCTGTAGCCTGGGACAGCAGTAGATGATGGCCCAAGTCCTTGGGCCCCTGCACCCATATGGGAGACCCGGAAGAGGCACCTGGCTCCTGGCTTTGGATCAGCGCAGCTCCGGCCATTGTAGCCACTTGGGGAGTGTACCAACGGAAGGAAGACCTTTCTCTCTGTCTCTCTCACTGTCTGTAACTCTACCTGTCAAATAAATAAATAAATACATCTTTAAAGGGGCTGGCGCTGTGGTGCAGAGCCCTGGCCTGAAGCACCGGCATCCCATATGGGCGCCCGTTCTAGTCCCGGCTGCTCCACTTCCAATCCATCTCTCTGCTGTGGCCTGGGAAAGCAGAAGATGCCCAAGTCCTTGGGCCCCTGCACCTACATGGAAGACCCGGAGGAAGCTCCTGGCTCCTGGCTTCGGATTGGCGCAGCTCCGACCATTGCAGCCATCTGGGGAGTGAACCATCAGATGGAAGACCTCTCTCTCTCTCTCTCTCTCTCTCTCTCTCTCCCTCTCTCTCTCTTTCTCTGCCTCTCCTCTGTCTGTGTAACTCTGACTTTCAAATAAATAAATAAATCTTTAAAAACAAAGTGCACTTTGGACAGTGGGTAGAGTGGAGGAAGCCCCTTGACAGCTGCCTCTTAGCGCTGTGCTACGCTCTGCCTCACTGAGCTTCTGGGAGAACGCAGTGATTCCGTGAAAGGCTGGGCTGCGCTGTCCAAGGGCGGGGGACGCGGGGAGGTGAGAGCGGAGACCTGAGTGGCCACTGCTCGCCGTGCCGGGAGGGGGCCTGGCTGCCCAGGAACCCGACGTCAGGGGCTTTTCTACACGGCCGCTGGGCTCCTGCGGCAGTGCACAGGAAAAGGAGGAAGCCAGGGAGTGGAGGAGGCCGGCGGTGCACTGCGCGTGCGTCTCTCAGGCGAGCCGTAAGCAGGCCGTTAAAGAATGCTGCTGCGGAGGGGGCGGGGCAGGCCTCACGCGTTCTGCATGTCAGCTGCCCTTGTTTCAAAAGTGCTAGAGCTGTGTGTAGCCCCACGGATAATTTTTTCTCCAAGCGATGATTAATTAGAGTTGAAAAAAAAGAGAAAAATAATAAAGCAACCTTAAGTGCCCATCCCTGGGCCTGTGGCAGACATCGTGGGTCAGTCAGCTGCCTGACCAGCACTGTAGATGGACCCCAGCCCCGCACCCACTGTACATGGACCCCAGCCCGGCGCCCACCGTACATGGACCCCAGCCCCGTGCCCACCGTACATGGACCCCAGCCCCGCATCCACTGTACATGGACCCCAGCCCGGCACCCACCGTACATGGACCCCAGCCCCGTGCCCACCGTACATGGACCCCAGCCCGGCACCCACCGTACATGGACCCCAGCCCAGTGCCCACCGTACATGGACCCCAGCCCCGCGCCCACCGTACATGGACCCCAGCCCGGCGCCCACCGTACATGGACCCCAGCCCGGCGCCCACCGTACATGGACCCCAGCCCCGCGCCCACCGTACATGGACCCCAGCCCCGCGCCCACCGTACATGGACCCAGCCCAACGCCGCACATCAGCGCCCTTGTCTGTGAGGTGCAGATAACACAGCTCATAACTGATGGGGCTGCTGCAAGCACTCGACCACCTGCCTCCCTACAGCAGCTGAGGGAAAGGCCCAGAGAAGACTGCACAAACGTCTGTTAACTTTTCTGGACTGGAGAGCCCGGTCAGGACTCAGGCCGGGGGGAGCGCCCCCCAGGGCAGTGCCCGCCCCAGCCTCGCCAAGTTTCTCCCTCCTGTTTGCCTCTGAGAACAGCGAGGCTGCAGGGCGCCGGCTCCGGCTGGTTGGAACCTGTGAGAGCCAAGAGGGCTGCTGGCGTGACCGAAGACTGACCGCCAACTGACTGAAAAGTCTCCGCATGGGGCCGCGACAGACAACGGTGCCCAGAAGGGATGGCAGGACAGGAGGACAGGAGGGAACCCCTGGCCGGAGAATCGCTGTGGCCTCTGCGCTGGCGAGGCCAGGATGGTGCGTTCCTGCATGTGGACTCCTCGGCCTCGCTGTCGCCTTCCTGATGCCGGACCAGAAGTCGGGGTCTCCCAGCTGCCCCAGGACGGCCCTGCAGAGGACTAGGTTTGTGGTTACCTATGAGCTCAAGTTGTACTCAGCAAAAAATAGTTGTTGTGTGCCGGAGCTGGTGCAGAAATGCTGGGGTTCTGGGGTGACCAGAAGTGAGGCCTGGGTTTATGTGGGCGCTGGAACCCCTGGCCAGTGGCCGTCTTGTTACATGGATGGCGTGCAGGTCGTGTGTTTATGTTTGTTGTGTGCCAGACTGGTGCAGAAATGCTGGGGTTCTGGGGTGACCAGGAGCAGCGAGGCCTGGGTTTATGAGGGTGCTGGAAGCCCTGGCCAGTGGCCGTCTTGTTACATGGATGGCGTGCAGGTCGTGTGTTTATGTTTGTTGTGTGCCAGACTGGTGCAGAAATGCTGGGGTTCTGGGGTGACCAGGAGCAGCGAGGCCTGGGTTTATGAGGGTGCTGGAAGCCCTGGCCAGTGGCCGTCTTGTTACATGGATGGCGTGCAGGTCGTGTGTTTATGTTTGTTGTGTGCCAGACTGGTGCAGAAATGCTGGGGTTCTGGGGTGACCAGGAGCAGCGAGGCCTGGGTTTATGAGGGTGCTGGAAGCCCTGGCCAGTGGCCGTCTTGTTACATGGATGGCGTGCAGGCCATGTGTTTATGTTTGGTTGTTTTACATGAATACTCAATCTACCAGAGTGACTAGAAGGCTCATGGACAATTAAATATAGAAAGCTGTTCTTCATGAACAGGGAAACCCAGTGGTGGCGTGGAAGACGAGAGAGGGAGATCCGTTGATCTAGGCATTCAACATCCATATCTAAGGAAACCCAGACAGAGCAGAGGAGGCAATTTAAAGTGGAAAATCATCAAAAAATATGTCTACACCTGAAGAGCAGGTGTCTTAGCAAAATGAATGAAGATACTCTCACCAGAGCATATGATCTGTGACATTCCTGAATCCCAGGGGTTGGGGGCTGGGGGGCACCAAAAAAACCCAGTGTGAGGGGAAGGCAGGAAACGAGTCCCACACAAAGAAACAGGAGTCAAAAAGCCTTAGATTTTTATACCCAGCTAATCTACCAGTCAACTGTGAAGTTGATATTTTCAAACACAGTATTTTTTTAGAAAACTTTTATTTAATAAATATAAATTTCATAAGTACAACTTTTGTATTATAGCGGTCCCCCCCCCATAACCATGCTTCCACCCGCAAACCAACCCATCCCCCACTCCCTGTCCCATCCCATTCTTCATTAAGATTCATTTTTAATTATCTTTATATATGGAAGATCAACTTAGTATATACTAAGTAAAGATCTCAACAGTCAAACACAGTGTTTTAAAAAATATATTTCTGCTGGGGTGGACATTGCGGCCCAGGGGGTTAAGCTGCCACTGGGAACATCTGCATTCCGTAGCCAAGTGCTGGCTTGCGTTCCGGCTCCTTGGCTTCCGATTGGTTTTCTGCTCGTGCGTCCCTGAAGGTAGTGGTGATGGCTCAAGTGGTTGACCCCTGCCACCCACAGGGAAGTCCTGGATGGTGTTCTGGGCTCCTGGCTCTGGCTGTGGGCAGCCCTGGCTGTTGCAGGCATTTGAAGATGAATCAGCAGGTGGAAGATTCTCTCTGTCTCTCCCTCCCTGCCTCCCTCCCTCCCTCTCGCTCTCATTCTCTCCGTTGCTCTGCCTTTCAATTCAATGAAAATAAACATTTTTTAAAAATTTTTTGACAGGCAGAGTGGACAGTGAGAGAGAGAGACAGAGAGAAAGGTCTTCCTATGCCGTTGGTTCACCCTCCAATGGCCGCTGCGGCCAGCGCACTGTGGCCAGCGCACCGCGCTGATCTGATGGCAGGAGCCAGGTACTTATCCTGGTCTCCCATGGGGTGCAGGGCCCAAGCACTTGGGCCATCCTCTACTGCACTCCCGGGCCACAGCAGAGAGCTGGCCTGGAAGAGGGGCAACCGGGACAGAATCCGGCGCCCCGACCAGGACTAGAACCCGGTGTGCTGGCACCGCAAGGCGGAGGATTAGCCTAGTGAGCTGTGGTGCCGGCCGAAAATAAACATTTTTTAAAAAAGAAAAAAATACTTCTGTTAAAGGATAGTCTTCAAAGAAAAGGTAATATCGCAACTCTTGTAGAGCATATGAAATTTACATGTGATAAATATCTTAACTTGTTATTGATGAGCGTACTGGTATGCTATAGCCAGTTGAAAGAGCAAGTCAGAGAGGCACAAATTCATATGAGATAAAGGAATTCTGAGATTAACTTGCAAATACATAGGAAGCTGGCTTTTTCTGGAGGGGAAGGCGTGTGGATTGTTCAGTTGCCTGTCCAAAGATGAGAATTATTTTGCACTGCTGGTTATCTACAATTTGCAAAGTGGTAAAGTCACTCAAAGACAGCTGAAGGCACAGAGCCTCTGTAAGATCAGGATCAGGAGCTCAGAAGGCCGTGCCTTCCGTAATGCATGGGTTTTCCGGGAGCCCACAGTGCTCCAAGTCTGTTCCCGGTGACTCTATTAGGACACCACTAGAGCAGGTACCTCATCCAAAGGAGAAAGTAAATTAGAAAAAAAGAAAAAGACACAGGATCTCTCAGACGGGGTACAGGGCGTCCCACACTGGGGGTGGTGCATCTAGAGGCTGTGCTGCGCTCAGGCCGGAGCCCAGGGGCCCAGTCCAGGAGGAAGGGGGCTTCCCGAGGGCCCAGAGAGGAGAGGTGGAGCTGAGCTGGTGGGGCGTGTGGAAGCTCCTGGGGAGGCCTTTGTTCGAGGACATCGATGGCGAGTAGTAGCAAACAGGCGCATTTTAGCTGAGGCCATTGTTGGCTTCAGGAGTGCCGAGGGCTAGCGAGGACGGCGACGCAGGAGGCTGCCGTTGGTTCAGGAGGGACTAGTCCTCCCATAGCATGCATCCTGTTTGTTCTCTCCAGGAGTGCGGTAGAGCTGGGTGGGGTGGAGGAGAAGTGACGGGTGTGAAATGAAAAAACGGCAACACATTCAGCTTAAGGTGCCTGCCCCATCTTGATTACAATTCTAGAACTGGCAGCACGTCGTTCCCTAGAGAATAACGCTCCCGTGAGCTGGACAGACGAGGACACGCTGAGCTCCTGTGAGCTGGACAGAGAGCTCACGGCTGAGGCAGGGAGGGCAGAGGGAAGCAGAAACAGTGCACGGGCGGCTTCACAGCCACCTTCCTTGGGGGGAACTCCTCGTCGAGCCAGCTGAAACTGGCTTGTCCGGGGCTCTGGCTGGTGTCTCTCACGCTCTTGATTCCTGGGAAGGTCAGATAAACAACTCAGTTTTGGCTCGGTGATGTGGAACTTTACCTGAGCGACTCCACTTTGGATTGGCCATTTGGGCCTTGCACAGGAGCTCGGTCCAAACCAGTGTTCTCCCACAGATTTTATTCAACGTGGATCACACACAGGAGAGTCTGGCCTACGCCTAAGCCAGTGGAGTAATGTCCGGCAACGGCTAACTTGAAAACAGCCCCGGAAGCACAGTATTCATAAATGTGGAGACAAATGCCAGAGGAAATAGCTAGAGTGGCTCTCAACGGCTGCCTTTGGGAACCTGAGCCTGGAGGTGAGACAGCTTAGGGCAAGAAACGCCTAGTTTTCATTAAAATTGCACATACACACATGTATTAATTAAAAGTAAATTTGAAAAGCATCACACCTACGAAAAGGCGTACGTTATTAAGTGCTGGTGGGGCGTGGTCACCGTCCCGTAGTTACTAGTGACGTGGAAGTTGGCACGGCCATTGTGGAAGGTCATTCGGCAGAATCTAATGAAACCTGAAATCTGAAAACCATTTTGGAGGCTGAGACATGGAGAGAAAGAGCCAGATAGTGAGCTCCCCTCCCCTGGTTCACTCTCAATTGCCCACAGTGGAAGCAGGTTGCCCACGGGGGTGGCAGGAACCAAGGACGTGGGCCCGCACTGCTGCCTCCCAGGGACCGCGTGGGCCGCAAGCTGCAGTCGGGAGCCACGGCCACGGACGGACCCCGCACTGCGATTGGGGCGGGCGTCCAGCCGCCAGGCGAGGCCTGCTCCCTGCTCCTGGACGGAGCTGTGATGGACATGGCCCCTTGACCCGCAAGTCCTGCTTCTCGGCTTCTTTCCTCAGAGGTCTCCCCCTACGGGCGTGGTCAAGGAAGCACAGCTCGCGAGGCTCCTGGAACACTGGCTGTAAGGCAAAAAATTTGTAAATATCCAATGAAAGAGGGACGTGTGACAACAGCAGCACAAAGCAGAAGTAT